AGGCTAGAAAGATCACCTTTCCAAACGACACAAAGTCGCTGATTCGAATCGACAAACCAGAGGCTCGACCAGAGGGGCGCACCGGTACGACGTGACAGGTCTCCCTCTGGGCGCCAATCGCCGTGACACCATTGATCACTTTGCCTGGTGGAAAGACAGTGCAGGCAAAGGGTGGGACTGCATCCCGCTCAGTATGCGTGTCTCTGGCAATCAAACCATTTGGGTTGTCTCTGCAGACACCAGCCCTCCAAGTTACGAACACCGCACTCAGAGCGCCCGTGTGCTTGTTCAGAAAAAAGTACCCGCATACACATCCGAATCCGGTGCTAGAGCTTCGTCTAGACCCAGGGCTTCTCAGCGGAGTGCAACTCCCAGTCAGCCTTCCAGAATGCCTGCGCAGGCAAGCGCCTCTGACCTCGAGAGGCGTGTACAGTCGCTGGAGATCATTCAAAAGCTCTTGTCTTGAGCAGAAGCTCGACGAAGGCTTCAGTGCTGTTAACGGTCAACTCCGCCAGATGAACAAGGGAACCTCCGCCAGGAGACTTGCGGAAGGTCACACTGGAGCGACCCCTCTCCCGAAGCAGCCTAAATCCCGAACCGTGAATTTGCGTGCGCCCGCCGCAGCAGGAGCTCAACTCATGAAAAGGCGGACGCAGACGGTGCGGGACTGTGGCGAGAACAGAGTGTTAGGACGAATCGAGCTGCAGCGGAAGCCGTGGAACCGCCGCGTGTGTCTGTGCAAACAGCATATAAAACACAACACTGCTTGGAATTTCAATCAAACACAAGCAGAATTTTGGGGTCGTCTAGCAAGTCAAACAACTTTATGTCATTTCAACCCAATTGCAGCCGAGATTCAAAGAGAGCCTGGGATTGTCTCGAAAGGCTCGATAAACAGCAATTTCATGTCAGTCTGTCATTGCAATTAATTCACAAGGGTGAGTGCAAGATGCAGCTCAAATATTGGGAAGATGCGGTCTAGGCTTCGCAGCCTCACGAGTGATGAGCCGTGATGTACGTGTGGGGACATGCTGGCGAGATTCTGCATGCCGAAGTCTGATTGAAAGCTGCTGCTCAAATCAGGACTTCCGGCCCAAAGCATTTGAATTCGTGGGTGCCAATGTTTACCCACATCGGGGCTGGTAGTTTTGGTTTCAGGCCCTTGTCTTTGGCAAGGGGAGCTTACACGTTCAGAATGCGCCAGCATTCAAGACCAAAACTCTGACCCGTGCAATGCCTAGGCCAGTGGCAGCTAGTTTAATACGTTGGCTCCACAAGAATTCAATCCAACCTATAAATTAGAGCTCATCGCATGTCGAACAGCATTACAACTGACTGAAATATCAGCCGCATGTACACATTTAATAAAAGAACACCACGACCCAATAACCCATTAAATTGCGTTATTTGCCAGACAAGGCATTACCGATTTACAATCCTCCAGTGAGTCTTCGGCCTCTAAAGCCTTGCAGAACAAGGCTTTAGGAGCATCAGGGTAAGCTTTGACTATGGGTTCTGATCTCGTGCCGAGGGTGAGCCAAAGACTACAGCCCTGTTCGTTCACGATGCCCACACTGGTTGGCGAGAGTGCTTTCCAGTCCCTGACAAAGGAGGAATTGTCAATGGCATGAATGTGCTGGTGTACTTGGCTTTTGAGTTGTGCAGACTGATATCCTTTCTTGGGTACAGTCAAGTGATCATCAGGTCCGACACTGAGCCAACATGTTTGGCCCTCCAAAACGAAGTGAAGAAACTGCGACTTAGCTTAGGGCTGAGGACCGTGTGTCAGCAGGTTCCAGAAGGATCGCATCAGAGCAATGGCGGTGCAGAAATGTGTGTTCATACGGTTCGTCATTGCTGGTTCAATCTTTTCGTTTTATGAAAAGACGGGCCCCCAAAACGTACGAGTCCCACAGTCACATCGTCCAGACCACCACGTTTGCCATATTTCATAGCTTTGAGCGCCGAATCAAATTCCTGCCAACTGGGAGGTCCCTTTAACTCATCCGCAGTGGTTGTGGCAAGGGGTACATAGCGCCAAACATCACCCGCGACTTCGCCCTCACCTGATTGAATACCCGAAAGGAATTGCTTCCAAGCTTCACGTTCTTCCTCTACATTCGCGACCGTCGAACGACAACCCGTTTGTTTGCGCAGATGCTCCCGGAAACCTAACTGCCTACAGATTTGCCAAAAGGCAGCCGAATCCCCACTGGCATCGAGGAGGAGCACGCCGCGGAAGGGGCCGTGGTGGTACGGGCTAGAATCGTTTCACCCCTCCAAGTCCGGGGGGCAGTGTATGTCGACGCATGTTGAGAATGCCGTGCCCTGTTAGGTCGTATTGTTGTTTCAGGAGTTCGCAGGTAGAGATATAGGCAATTAGCCGTTCGCAAAAGGTTTTGAGCCTGAACGCTTGTATGATGCAATATGCAGTCGACGCCTTGAGCCATGTCTTGTGCTTGGAGATGCCGATGGTTTTTTGGGAGGTGGGCCGCTTGGCTGATACATGGTGTATTGAGTGCATGCAGTCGCCAGGAACAGGCGGCTGAACCAAACACTATACTATCTACCTATCTTGAACAATTCGTTCCTTGTTGATCGCGTGTATTTGGTGTTGCTTACAGGGAGATGCTTGACAAGATATATGCTCTTTTCACATATGTGTTGCAAATGCATGTGTCCTGTTCACTTGCCAAGGATCACCGGCAAGTTCCCTGGTTATCTGTCACCATCAGCAGGGCTGAAATTCGCTGATGTGCCCAACGGCCTGGCAGCTATCTCGAAGGTGCCTGCAGCAGGATGGGGACAAATCCTCGCTTATATGGCCTTCTGCGAAGTTTCCCAGGACCAGTCTCCCGGCACGCCAGCCGCAGCGGGAGACTTCGGCTTCAAGGTCTTGACGTCCAGCGACCCAGTTGAGAAGACCAAAAAGTTGTCGGCAGAGTTGGCCAATGGAAGGCTTGCGATGATGGCCATCATCGGCATGTTCTTTCAGGTGGGGATCAACATACTTGTAGAAATCACGAGATGTACCAGCCTGTCCGCAATGTGTTAATGTTTGTGTTTATAGGGTTTACAAGTGTGTTTTCTCCAATGTTGCGGTATTGATTTGCCATGACAGGATGGTCTCACCGGCAGTGCCTGGGGCGATTGGGCCAATTACACCGCATCGCCTTTGCGTGCCTTTGAGAACGAGCTCGGGGTGCAGGTGTGATATGCACACGCATGCTCGTGCAAATCTGTTGTCATTACAAAGCTGTAATTAGTACTGGCATAACAAATTCTGCATTCTTCACCTATCGTAGCCTTTAGCCGCTAGCCCGAATTCGTTGCAATACATGATGTGCATCCTGGAGCCTCCCCAAAAAAATCTGAGCTCAGAAGCTGTCAACAGGCTCCAATGGGTTTCTTTGACCCATTCGGTTTGACGAAGGCGCTCCTGCACTTGTTGACTTCATTTGTGGGTTCGCTGTCGGGATTGGGACGTTGGTCGAGGGTTCCGGAGTTGGAGTTTAGTTTGAGGCAAAGTTGTCATCCAGGAAGAAACTTTCATGACCATAAAGTGCTGTAGGCGACGTCCAGCGTCAAACCATTCAATTCCAGAACCACAAACCCAGAAGCCCGCAATTTCCAAACCCTCAACTTTCAGCTCCGTCAAAGTCCTGTACCTTGAGTCAGCTTTGACTAGCCCAGGGGCAGTGTGTAGGAGTTGGGCTTCAGGTTGAAGTGCAGGTCCGGGACTGGGACGGGATGATCATATGAGCGGGCAACCAAACAGAATCGTGGCCCGCAAGATAATGGTGGTTGTCAATCAGAGGTCTGCGTGACACAAAGCACTTTCACCAACAGGATGGCGATGTGGAGGCCTTCAAGCGACGCCGTGCCACGGACCTTTGCCGGGATTGTTGGCGAATTTCTGAGTTTTGCTTGGTGGCAACTTGGAATTGTGCTTTGCATCTCACAATCGTTACCACCAGATTAAGCTCAGGACTGACATTTCAGTCACAAACGGCCGTTGTCACAGTAACAGAAGCACAGCGAAACTTGTGAACACAGGAACAGCCTGACGACGCTTTCCATCGTCGTCTTGAAAACTCACGGCCGTCATCATTGTCGGTGCTTTCAAGGTCTTCTTCGTCACGATGAGTGTCATCTTCATAGTATCCGTGCCTTGTCAACATGATTTGGTAAGTGCCCCCAAGACTTGAGCGATGCTTGCCGCATGCCTGGTCAAGGAGGCCGCTGCAGCCACGAACGATGGGTCGAACTGATTTCAATCACAGCAGAGTCAGAAACACTGTCACAAGAAGTTCATATGAAAAGTCTTCATTTCAGAATACCACCAGCATCATCAGCAGCATCACCGATAGCCCACACAAATGTTCATTTACCTCACAGGCAGCATCAACAGCTGGCAGCCAGCACGTAACATAGCATACTGTTGCCAGTCCGACTTCAAGCATGGCAGCTGTCTTGTACTGGTAGCATGTAGTTGAAGATGTCACGCCGCATTCCATGACAACGCTTGTTGGCGTACATACACTGCGGTATACGTTAATTGAATTGCTTTAAAAAGTCCCGATGCAAGCAGACTTCACCTGAATATCATGTTAGAGATCATACAGCTGTATGAGCTATCTTATAATGTCCAGCCACGTACCTGCAGTGTTGCGAAATCCTCAGATGCTCGCAGTAAGGCAGGTTGGTGCAGTGACGTGCAGACATGTCATGCCATGGCATCGGTACTATGGAGGGGACCACCAAGATGCTAGCATGAGCATGAATGGGATATGAAGACGGGATAAGATGGGGGGTTGGAGTTTAAGGCTCCCACGGTGTCGCTCCTTAACGCACCCGAAACCGCCAAAAAGCACTGTTGAATTCTCGACAGGAGTTGAAGAACGGCCGTGTGGCAATGCTTGCGACCATGGGTGCTCCCGCCACTCATTGTTGTTAGGTGCTTGGGCTAGTGACGTCACACAGTAACTTTGACTTTTGACATGACCGAGCACCTCTGCACCTCCCATGCAAGCAGTTGGGCAGACTCTCGTTCTTGCTCGGATGCTTGATCAGTTGACCCGCTCTCCGAAGAGAAGAAATAGAACGAGCTGGTAATCGTGGCAGGCTACATCGTTCCGGAGTACTTCCGCTTCCCAGGACCGCCTGAAACCGGGTCTGGATGTCCAGAACCCAACCGCGTGGCAGAATTCGTGAAGTTGTGTCTTCTTCACCAAGAACCAAACCCACTCCCATAGTCTAAGCTATACCCTAAAGCCCGAAACCTCCTCAGCGGTACACCCGAAGCCTTGAAAGCCAAGCAGGATACTGCTCCCCGTCTGCTGGCGTCAAGTTCACGGACATCCCGAACGGCTTGGCGGCGCTGAGCAAGGTCGGCATCAGAGTTTCCGCCACTGAAATCCGAGCTAGGATTTAGGCTTTCCATACGGGTTTAGTGTGAATCTTCGGTAATTATCCCTGAAGGCTCAGTCTTTCAAAGGAACCAGGGGATGCGAGCAACGTCTTGTTACTAGTGTTGCTAGAGTTTAAGGTTCAGTTCAGGGCTTGTACAGCCGCACTGCATGTAGACCGTATTCTGGCAATGCGCGGACTTGGAACCTCCAGGCCTCTTTCAAAGCCTGGCATTGAAATAAGGCTCCCAAGACGACCCTTCGTGAGCCTTGTGTGTAAGTTCAGGACAGTTCGTTTGAGAGATCCGCACGCCCGGAGTCGGAATCGTCTTGCCATATCTCATTATATCTCTGATTTGACCTCGGCCAGAATTTGAATGGATCTAGAGGTTCTCTATATGCGAAGTAGTTAATTATAGTAGAAATAAGATTGAAACATTAAACTACTCAGGTGCGTTCGGGGAGCTTTAGATCAAGCGCTCCGGCTACTTTAGTCAGTCTTAGTCACATCACTCTGGCTATTTTGGAAGAATTTCAAGCAGGACCCGAACGTAGCTGAGCCTCATACAAAGGACGGCCCTAAAACCTCAAGGATCCCCATGACGATCCATACCAACATCGTGAAGCCCACCTGTAAAATCTGCATAAAAGCCTGAAGAATTTGACCCTCCATTGAAACACCAACCTCTAAAGCCCTTATAGAGACCCTTCCAAACCCGATAAAAAACACCGGAAATCGGAAGGTCCCAGGGGCAGGCTGGACACAGATCTTGCTCTTCCTAGGCCTCGTTGAAGCTTTGTTCCGAAGTTCAGCACTTTAACGCGGGGCCTTTACTGTCAGAACAGGGCTTGGACAAGGGGGTTGCGATTGGGATGGGCTTTGGGAGTGAATGAGTACAGAATACATACATTGGATCTACAACAGGGTTGGGGGTTTAGATGGTTCACTGATGAGGGTTCAGGGCTTGGCGTTTTTACGAAGGGCTTGGACCCTGTGCGGTTGCAATTGAGGTGAGGTCTTGTGATCGTGGTCATTTTACGGCTTAGAACACCTCGGACTCAAGTCATTGAGAATGTACTGTAGGCTTGGGGGCTTTGGATGTGATAGTTTAAGCTTGAGACCTGACAGGATTTTGGTAGGCTTTGAGGGTGCGGGTTGCGCCAGCAATCAATGCTGGTGATATCCGACGGTCGTGTGGAACCCGTGGGTTGTGCGCTCAGAAGTGTGACTTCAATTGTCTATAGAGTCCTATAGAGATGTCACTGACCTGGTTGTACGTCATCACACTCATTGGGGGTGAACTATAGCTTGCTGCACACTGGTGTTCGTACGCGCCTGAGCTCACCCAAGAGTTTTGTTGTATTGCTTGCTTGTTTCGGTTTCAGGCCTTCTTCGGTTCTTGGTTTTTGCGCCGTATGTGCACTGCCAATGCATTCTGCCACATGGTGCCAACCGACTTAATAGCCCTGAAAGTTACGCAAAGTTCAGCATGTGTTTGCTAGTGTTTACAGGGTATGTCGTCGGTTGAGTTTGTGGGGCAGCAGCAGGTGATTCAGGATTCACGGGAATGTCCAGCTGCACAGCTTGTCCATTGCAGCTCTGAGTCATAAACCCTAAAGCATCCACAAATACCAAGCCCTGGGCCTTAATCCACTCAGCATGTTTAGCTTGCACCTTAAACCCCTCTGCGATCTTCTGCAAGTCTGGTCGTAGCGGATGCTTTGCTCGTCCTGTCAAGCCGGTCAATGATGGCTCTGAACCCTGAAACGAGTTTGTTCTCTCGGCCGCTGGCCGTGAAACCCAGGAGAAGGGCCTTTACACCTACGATCCCACCCGCGAGCCGGGCGCAGCTTGGCGTCCAGCCTGGCCCGGACGTAGGAATCCCATTTAGGGCCTAGGATTCAGGGTTCAAAGTCTATATAGAGTACAAGGTACGTAAACAAGCGACTGCTTTCCGTCAAAGCTATGGCTTGCTGATGGTCTGTTGCGGGTCTTGGGGGATTCTCGTTGAAGGTTCCAAGTTGCGGTACTTAAGATTCTCGGGCCGATGTGTTGAAAGAAACACTTGTTGTCGAACCTGACGCACGACAGTTGTAAATCAATCAGCTAACGCTTTCTTTCTCAACCCCGAAGCCCCAGTTCGATTACCAGAAGGCCATAGAACCCAAGACCCCAAGACAGCGAAACTCACATGGCGTCCCAATCCATTTGATGTGCTGAAGGCCACACCTGCAAGCGCGGACGTCACGACCCCGACGTGGTCAGACCCATCAAATTAGCCATATCCCTCCAACCTATGCCGGAATTATCCATACAACCATAAAACCCAATCTAATGTGTAAGACCCTCTCATTCATACAACCCAGTACAACCCATGGAGGCTTTAAAACCACAAAACCAATCACAACTTTCAAGCGTTTTAACGACATCTCACAACAAAAACCCTTCACAACCAAACCAAGAACTACGCCAATGCGGGCGTCCTTGGCGTGCCCAACGGCAGCACCATGGTAGAAGGCGAAGGTGGGCCGAGGTTGCGTTTGGATTTGAAGCGAAGAATCTCAGAGTTGAGGTTGGTTTTAGGGTGTGCGCTTTGTTGTGCTTCGTTCGGGGTTCGGATTTTGGTTGGTTCTGGCTGTGGTAGCTGAAAGCAAGCCCCAATGCACGAGACTTGTGTAAACAGCCTTTGCCAAATCCTGCAGCTCCTGACCCAAACGATCAATCCCGTGAGCCCGAGCTTGGCTCAGCCGCAAATCCGCCACCAAAACTTGCAAGGCAGAAATGGAGTCCTTCGTAGCCAACCCTACCCACCTCAACCCGCCAATTCGGCTCTGATTTATGATAGTGCTGCAGCCCAAACTATGGTGTAAAGGTTTTGGAGTTTTGAAGTCTAGAGCCTTTTGGATTGAGGATTAGAGGTTTGAAGGGTTTATGGGTTTTAAGTGTTGGGGGTTGGAATTTGATGTTGGGTCGTAAAGCTCCAAACCCAGAGTAGCCTTGTAACATCATGCGGACAACCCAAGTAGGAGCATGTGCATGCAGGCCGCAACCGGAAGTTGAACTCCGAGTTGGCGAACGGCCGGTTGGCCATGATGGCCCCTCGAAATGCTGGGGAATGCCTCCGTAGGTTTTCATAGTACATGATGCTATGGGTTCTATAGGACCTAGAGGAGTTTTGTTCATGGGGTTTCCAGGGTTCGGGATTTAGGGTTTAAGTGTTTCTGGTTAGGTTCAGTGCTTTTGCCCATGATGATGGCAGTGATGCCTATGTAGTGTGGTTGAGGACAGTCTTGCGGCACTTTTTGGAGCTTGAGGCCTTGGTTTAGTACTAGGGGACCAGGATCCTATTATCCAGACATAAGAAGTAGGATGGTAGCGACGCCATACTTGAAAGAGGGCAGGGCGCATACACATTTGTGCATAGGGTCCTCAGGCCCAACAGCGTCCTCACGCGCCACATTACGCAAATACACAATTTTCCACACACCTTCAAACACCTAGCACAACATGTCACAATTTGTCGATCAGTGGATGACAGCATAATTTTGCGAGCCATCGTTTTGGCAGATATCATTTAGGATGGAGTTTAGGCTGCTGCTGGTCCTACGGGATGATTCGGAGGGGACAAACTGTTGGTCCGCGACCGCAACCATCACATGACAACTGAATTGAACAACGCCTCCTAGCTGCTCAGTGGCCCATGATCAAGAACTGCTATGTGCATGTGCGACGCGCGACGTTGGGTGGGAAACGTCGCCAGAGTGCCAACAAATCGCCTCCCAAAGACGGCAAGAGTCGAAAGAATCGAAACAGCCACGCAAACACATAGGTTCAATGGATTATAGTGAGCACCACAGCTCCCGACATACCCAAGATGCGCTGGCTTCAGCTCGCGCAAATCAGGATCATACCACGTGAAAGGCACTCATCCTCAAAGCTTTCCCCAAGAAATGGCTGGCCAACATTACCGTTTACAGGGTCGGCGAATGTCGGCGAGGACAAAGCGCAGCAGCGCCAGCGGGTCGGCTTTTAAAGATTTTCAGGTCGCTTGTTGAACAAGCGCTGCATACTTCGGCTGTGGGGCCGAAGGAACACGTCAAAACAAAAAGGGGTGTGCGTGGGGTCTCGGTCTAGTTTGGAGCGTGATCCTGGCCTGTGCCGTTCGAGGAAGCAAAAAGTCTTGCTCCCCAAAAAAGGGAACATAAGAATCCATGATATGTTGCGGTTTTAGGGTGGGAAGCTTGAAGTTAATGCGGGACGATCCGGTGACCGCGCTGTCGCATGCTGATGGGCTCTGAAGTATTTCCGTTGTGGTGTAAGGTTTACAGGAACTGGCGGGTTCAGGTTTGAATGGGTGGAAACTTGCAGGGCGAGCTTTCGGAATTCGGGAAGCGGTAGTGATCTGTTCCAACTCCTCCCCTACATCTTCCGCTATATGTAAGCTGCCTATAAGTATGAACCCGAGCGCATTGATGTTGAAGCTTCGATATCTACCGGAGCTGGGCCCAATCGTTGCGTACCTAAATGTCAAGATTTCGACTCTCCCATATCGGTATACCTACCTGAAAATGGCAGTCCTTTTTATCCTGGTCCGGTTCAATCCCTATATTAGGGACCATAAACAGCATCCTTCTCAAACGAAACATGTGTATCAATCATGCGCTTACAATTCTCCTTCAAAACCGTCAAACCCTAAACTCCCCGCGCAACACGATCTTAGGATTTGTGGCGTTTAAAGGCTCGTGGCTTTGTTTGAGACTAAAGCTAACAAAAAAAGAAGCCGGTGCTGGCTCCATGTTCGTGTCCGTGTGAGACACAGCGTGCAACACACAACCGCAAACTTAAAATCTACAAGGTCTAGTCATGGTACGTAGTCGGATAATGGTTTGGGATTGGAAAGTTGTAGTGGAGGTGAACAGATTTCAACATGGCCCATGCCATGTGCCTGAACCAGAACTGCAAGAGTTTGCCAGAAGCTTGTGCGGGAACCACGGGTTCCAAATTCTAGGGGGGCAATTCTACTCTGCGTTTCTGCTGTACCTGCCGAGAACGTTTTCACCTGGCTTCGTTCATGTGATGCAAGCTTGGGGTTCCAGTTTTGTTTCGTCATGCTCGAGTTTCCATGTTTCAGTATTTGCTCCGTTTGAGCAGGTGCAAAGCTGTATGAAGGGGGAATAATCTCCAACATGCACACCTCAGGCCATCATTGGGATGTTCTTCCAGGAGCAATGGTTTTCAACTATGGGTGAAGGAAATTTGCAATTTGGGGCGTGGGTTGTGAACGGTTTTGGGAATGCTTTGCCAGGTACCTGTGAGTTGGGAAATCAGGCCTTGATTGCACAAGTCGGCAATCCGCAGGCCTCAATGAGCATTGGTTATGACCAATACGAACGTGGTGAAGCCCCTGTAGCATCCATGTACGGGAAGGTTTCAGATTAGAATCGATGTACCGGACGTACTGTATATGCAGAGCTGCTAGCACAGTCCTGCGAAGGTGCGTCAGCAATCAGCAACCTCCGGTAATTCAGGTTCCCGAATGAGAATACGTGTATAGTACTACGACCCCATTGTACTTTTTTACAAATCATACAATAGCATGCCAAAAAACCCTTTCCAACTACGATCAAGGCCCTCATATTACAACTCTACCTCTTTGTCCCGTCGTTTGATGGAATTGAAGCCAGACAGAACTGAGCAACCTTTCGCAGGTGTCCCATAAGCATGTTGTCTTTCGGAAAAATATTCGAATCCCCGCATTAAAATGCTTTGGAAGTTGCAACCGGACTGGACTTAGGGACTTTGAGGTTTCGTGGGATGCGAGCTCTGTCTGCATGTGTCGGACTTGCTTCATGTCCCCTTGCCATCCCCAAGCCCTGCGACAGATGCGACAGGACGGCTTGACGGGTAGTGCCTGGGGTGATTGGGCAGCCTACACCGACACCGGGCCACAACCACTTGTTGTAGTTTAAGGGTTTGGCGTTCAGATCACGACTGCCACAATTATGGTCGTTAGCTGTTCTCGTTTCGCAGATTTGGTCTTTGTAGTTTTAGAGGCTTGGGCTACATAATTTCAGTAGTTTCACGGTTGCAGGAAGCTTTTGAGTTGGATCTCTACACTTGATTGAGCTACTTGTTAAGACTTTGATAATTACTAGACCAGAAGTGGTGTTCCTTGAGCCCCACACTTCAGGCTGTACACCACCTCTTGTTAGCGGAACTTCAAGCCCAGCCCCCAGCACTGCCCTCAGCTCCAAACCCGAAGCCCTGATTGCTGTGCCTGAGTCTTGTTCACAGTTCACAGTTCCAGGCGTACAGTAGGATTCAGGTTTGTTGGGGTGGGAAAGGGGGGCCTTGGACTAGTCCGCAAACATCAACACGCTCAGGATTCGCCACTTCGTGCCTTTGAGAATGAGCTGGGTGTTCAGGCCAGCCATTTGAGAAGATCCCACTATGAAATGTTGTCAAGCCAGATTTCTTTACCAACGTAGCGTTTCTGGCAGCTGCCCGTTGTTCTATAGCGCAACTCTTTGTTACCCGAGATGTCTTGTTGTGCGGCCGTGCAGCATCATGTTACGTTATGCCATAATGCGCCAGACACTGGCACTGCAGCATGCGGTGCATGAACGACCCTCCCACGTCAAATCACGTTTCCATGTTGTTGAACCTAAAGCCCTGGAGCAGACGCTGGGAGGCCCCTGTGGGCTACTTCGACCCCCTGGGCATGTCCAAGGATGGCGATGAGAAGACGTGCCCTGCTCCTGTCGTTTGGGATTCGGGGCGGATTGGCTCCGGCAGGATCTTCAAATCACAGGCAGCGCGTGCAAGAAGAAGAAGAAGAAGAAGAAGGATAAATTGTACGAAAAGTACGACAGTGACCAGATGCTGCTAGCACCGCAACTATTACTACAGCGGCGACGACCACTATCACTACTGCTACTGCTGCAAATACTACCACTAGCACCACCAGCACCACCACTACTACTACTACCACCACCGCCACCACCAGTATTACTTGCTACTACGACGGCAACAAGTTTACCACAACTACTCCTACTACTCAGACTACTCATGCTGCAAGCCACTAACCACTCAACTCTACTAACATTACTAACTGCACGACTACAACTCCGGGTGAACCATAGCACACCAGGTAATCGTATTAACCTTTAGCCGTGGTTGTGACAGTAGTGGCAAGACCAGTCGGCAAAAGATAGCACAATGCACTCCGAGTACCATGCATGAACAATGGCTCCCTTCCATCCAAGCAAGGCCCCCGGACGAATGCAGTTCGCATCCAAACGTTTGAAAGGACATCAAGGCTAAGGTGTAGCGTTGGTTTCATGTGCAGAAGAACAGAATCCTGGGCCACCCACAGTAGAAAGCCTGCCCAAATCGGCACAAACTGTCCTTTCTTCTCGCTTCACTACATAGAGGAAGAGGATAGGAAGAGGACTCCAGGGGCCTGAGGTTCCGGCAGCCGCTGACTAAAGCTGCCAGGTTCCGTCGCCGCCGCGAGTCCGAGCTGAAGCCTCTCGGCCAAGTTGGTGCAAGGGTTTTTTCACGACCTAAAAGGGCCAAACGCCTAAACCTGGAGCCCAAACTTCACACGAAGTCTTGAAGTAAGTCGGAGTAAATTAAATTCTAGGCTTGAGCTTCAGAGTCTAAGGACGTAGGACTGGCGTGTCACTGGTTTTTCGGTGGATGTGGTAAGGATGCCATATGGAGTGCCCAGGCAGTGCGAAGAAGTATTACTGCTGTATTCTAGGGGTACACAAATTCAATCATGTGCACTTGGATGCAGACTTTGGGTAGCATACTGATTGAAGTTGAGAGGGTGCAGCGTTGTCAAGAACATAATTGGCCCGTTTAAATTGAAGAGTGTATTTAGGGGTAGGGGTGGCAACCAGAAATAACTTCATCGCTCAGCTCCCGCCCGCCTCCCGCCATGACTTGACCAATACCAAGAATGTAACTCTACAGTCTCCAACCACGGTGTGCCAGCGATAGCACAGTTAGAATTAAGGGATTCTGAAAGCCCTCCTATTTGCTGACGCAACACTTTGCCTACGCCATGAAAACATCCAGAAATGCCCATGCACGATCAAAAGATGTGCCATCGAGCCTGTTCGCTTCGGCAAGGAACGGACGTGTGGCGATGTTTGCGGCAATGGGATGCCAGGATCTCATTTGGTGGTGGGTTTTGAGTTTGGTGGTTTCTGGTTATGTGCATTCTGGCAGTCCTCAAAATTTCCGAAGCAATGCTTCGATGCATGAGCTGTAGAGCAGCCTTGGGCCCTGAGGCCGTGTAAGTGCAGGTTGGAACGACAGAACTATAATTTCATGTATGTAAAGACTCAGAGTCAAGACATGATGTACAGTTGGCTGGCGGAACAACACAAGAACAGCATTTCGAACGAAGAAGTATACAATGGCCCAACACCTCCAAAGCCCAGCACTCGTCTACACGTCGGCGCCCTGAACCTTCAAGCCAAAAGCTTAAAGCCTGAACCCTCGAACCCAAAACCCTGAAACCTACATTCCACTGGAATCCTGAAGTCACGGATGCTGCGCTGAGTCATCACACCGGAGTATTTCCGCTTCCCGGGTTTCCTCTCGCAGGGTCCCCGGGGGCCTTCCGTGAGTCGAGAGGAGATTTCGGAATAAAATGCTCTAAATCATTATTCTGATTTCACAGACCCCCCTGCAGTAGGAGCTTCAGAAAGTAAGGAACCCCTATATGCGATTTGAAATCATTTACTGGGATCCTTACTGGAAGTCCATCTGCCATCTCGGGATTTCAGTTTGCTAGGATCAAACTTTTGATTTTCTGCTGGGCGTCCGCCTGAACAGTTGAGAGGTTAACAGTGTGGGTGTTCGGGCTTAGGGTCCTGGGTCTTGAGAGCGTCCTTGCGTGGAACGCTTGAAACTTCCCCACACCGTCAGTCGTGCGGTTTTCAGAAGTGGGTCAGGGGTTGAATTGAGCTTCGGAGCCCGCGCCCTATCTCATGTTCTGCATCAAGAGGGGTCGGTATCCTGTTGGACCAGTTGATGGAAAAAGATTGTACATTTTGTTAAGTACAACTTATAACGGTGATGCAGGTTTTTCGAAGGTTGGGCATCAATTCCCTGGCAGCTCCTCCCCGCCTCCCCGAGTAGGAGTAGGGTTGCGGGTAGGTTTCCAATTAGGGCTCCGATCAGATTCCGGCTCCGTTTTAGGATGCGAGTCGGGTTCCGTGTCGGATTCCGAGTTTAGGGTTCCGAGATGTTCCGAGATTATGGTTCCGATTACACGGTTCGGACTCGAGTATGATTGAGGTTCCGAGATTAGGGTTCAGTTAGATGGGCGTGGGTGTTTGTGCGGGCGGGGTGCAGGTGTGGGTGCGGGTGTGCGGGTGTGCGGGTGTGTGGGTGTGTGGGTGTGTGGGTGTGTGGGTGTGTGGGTGTGTGGGTGTGTGGGTGTGGGTGTGGGTGTGGCTGTGAGTGTGTGCTTGTGTGTGTGTGTGTGTCTGGTGCGCACGAGGTTTGTTTTACTTCGGCTCGGGCTTGCATGGTTGAGTTTCCGAGATGTGGATTATTCGCGTTTTTGTGTCCTCTCGTGTTTGAGTTGTGGTTTGTGACGTTCCAGTCAACATGGGTATGAACACGGTGATGTGGACTTTGGCACTTCCACGCTCCCAAAACCATATGGCCATATGGTATATGCATTATAGTTACATTTCAAGATGAGGTTTTGATCTAGTATATGTTTATGAATATGTATATGAGTATGAGTACGCGTGGGATCACAAGCCACATGCCTGCGACCCAGTTCCAGCATCGTTTGATGTGCCGAGCAACGAGGGTGGGCAGGTCTTGAGTCTTGACGGTCAAGCAAACGTTGGTGCAGTGTTGGTACCGTGTCTGTTCGTGGGTCTGCTTTGTAAGAAGGCTGCGGCTGAACTAGATATTGCCTGTGCCGCGGTCTCGCATGCACACATTTTCAAATGGCTGCCACTTTGAACCAGGATGACTGGCACGTTCCATGGCTATTTATCAGCATCTGCTGGTTTGAAATTCGAAACCGAGCTCTATGTGTTGGCCTTGGAGGATCTCGAGCCCATCCTTGCCTCCATCCAAGACACGGCAGTGCAGATGCAATGGTGTGCGGAGCTCCGTGAGTGCCTTTCGGCTGTAGACGATGTAGTGGGCATTTTCCTGTTGGAGGAGGGTGGGGGCACCACACAGGTGTTGACCTCCGCTACCGCCCCTCCATGTCCGCCTTTAGGATGTCACAGCTCGTGAGGCACCATTTGCGGGGAGCTGCGAGCGCGTTTTCCACCAACGGGATCGAGGTGTGTGCCCCCTTTCCGAGAGCGATATGAAGAAGAAGCGCAACCGCCAGGGTGGGAAGGGCGGTGGTGGCAAGGGCCACTCCAAGGGTGCGGAAGGCGGTAGGGGGCGGGGGGGGGAGGGCGCGGTAGGGACCGCGGCCGCCGCTCTCCTGGCAGACGCTGAGGGGGACCCCCCCCGCCTTTTTAACTATGGATCTGTCTACGCGGCATTTTCCGTTTTGCGTAGCATACACCTTCATGCTGATCTCGATGCTAGAAAACCCAGGTCTTGCGCGATTGCTCAGCTGACATGGTTCGTGCATGCGAATCTCTCTCTCTCTCTCTCTCTCTCTCTCGCTCTCTCTCATGCAGTGACATGTCGTGCCATGTTCTTGTGTTGTTTTCGTTTTTATTTTGCTAGGACTCAATTCGACGGAATCTGTGTCACAAAAAAAAACGTAAAACAACACAAGAACATGGCATGATATGTCACTGCATGAGAGAGAGCGAGAGAGAGAGAGAGAGAGAGAGAGAGAGAGAGAGAGAGAGATTCGCATGCACGAACAATGCCCAACTGAGCCAGCGCACAAGGCCTGGGTTTTCGAGCTTCAAGATCAGCAGGAAGGTGTTTGCTACCTACCGCCTGCGAGGAAACTAAAGGTTATGCGCGCGGTACTTGAAGGTACGCTCCTTGCGTGTGGCAAAACAAGGGTTTGGAATCAGGCACAGGAAAGAAAGGCCAATCAGGTGTTGGCCAGGGGCATCCGTCGTTGTCTGGGCTTGGACGTGTTTAACATGAGTGAAAACAACTACAATGACGCTTCCCTAAGGAAGATGGTTTGCTGGGACAGCTTTTCCACTCTCTTTCATCGTCAGGTTCTTAGATTGGGTTGGACATGTGGCGAGAATGCACACAAGCCGTGCCCCTAAGATGGCCTTGTCTGGTTGGCCGTTGAATATGGATTCGCATCGCTCAGCACGCTATACTTTTCCCACAGTGGGTTGCATGGTTGTTGCAGAAATATGGTATTCCAGACCAAAAATGGATTGGTTTCGATTGGCTCAGAAGCCCACCGGCAATTGGTTGCAAATCCTTGATCAGGCCCTCCCAAGATCAAAGCCGTCGCGACAACACCAGTCCTCACTTATCTCGTGGAAGGTGGGAGATCCCCCTTTCTCCTCCACAAAACACTGTCTCCACTCGTCGACTCGTCACTGGTGAACCCGATCCCCTGAAATGCCCGGCTTGTGACTTTGTGGCTGACACGGCGCGAGGCTTGCAGGTACACTTTGATGGTCATCATACAGTTGGTGATGCCTCCCGCTGCACGGTGAGTCATAGTAGATGTCCGCTTTGCTCACAGCTGTTCGTGTTTGGTCGTGACGCAAGGAAACACCGTTGTCCCGCCAAAATTCACACACTCGATGCTTTAGAAAAAAGTAGGTCTAACACACGAGTGCATTGCCCGCCAGACTTTGATTTGGACAGTTTGACGGGTTGGTCACTTTATGTGGATGGGTCGGGTCCTCATGACGACATCGTCAACGCTGGATGGGGTGTTGCAGTTTGGACTCAGAATTCTGACAGTTTGGTGCCTGAATGCGCTGTTCGGTCCGATACCCCTCACATCTTGGGATAAGCGCTGGCTGGGAGCTGAACGTCCTACTAACAATGTGGGTGAACTCACGGCCATGGGGGAGGCTCTTTTGTGGTTATTGGATGAGGCTCCTGGCCATCCCCGCATCCCCGCTTGCATATTGTATGACTCAGAATACGCACACCGCGCCATCACTTCGACATGTCAACCAGAGGTCAATGCGAAGTTGATTTTGAACATCAGAGATCTTCTTTCAAAAGTCACGGTCAATCGCGTGATACACTTCCGTCATGTCAAGGCGCACACTGGAATTAGAGGTAACGAGTTTGCGGATCATCTAGCTGGTCAAGGGGAAAGAGGGTTACAAGCCATTTCGTCGAAACGCTGGCTTGAACGGTGTGACGCCCTCGCTGCAGTTCCTGCCATTTTTGACAGATCATTGTTGGAGGTGTGGTCAAGTGTTCACCGGCCCTTCCCACGCTCGGGCGCTGGCAGGACATGAGGCTCATTGTAAGGTTCCGGGCGCCCCCCCGCCCTTCATTTGTTGTCGTCATGGTTGTGGTAAGCAGTTTCAGTTTCAGTGGCAGTTCTCGACGGGCAAACGAAAACAGCCTCATCATGCCCGTGAGTTCCGCAACACCCATGAACGTATCTGTAGGGGTGAGGATGTGCTCACACGCACTTGCCCTTTTTTGTGATAAGGTTTACGTCGAGGGCACCACTGATGAAACCATTTTGAATCATCGAAAGGAGTGTGTGCTTAGGCCGAAGGAGGCGGCGAAGGAAGGTCCCTCCTGGCAGTGTAGTCTTTGTCATTCTCGTTTTACGACAGGGGATAAGGCCGCTCATGAAGCCAGCTGTCGCGGCAGCGCAGCGCTCAATAAAACATGCAGCTTGTGTTCAGAAACATTTCTAAACTATCGATCTTCGTATTGCACACGAGTCGTCTTGTCGTGGTTCCAAACGAGCCAAGGTCATTCGGTCCTGTTTTCGTGGTTTTCACTTCTGCCCCTTTTTTTCTTTTCCCAAACAATGCACCGTGAGAGTACATTATCTGTCAAAGAAAGTATGGCTTTCGGGGTAGCTTCTGTACTGACATGATCTGTAGCCATGCTCTACCTGCGTGTGGTCGCTTCACCCTGCCTGTGAAGCTGTAACTTGCAATGCTGTAAGGGCATGGTACTGTTCACTTGCTTTTTGCTTCTCCCTGTCAGCTTGATGATCTACCTGCGCATGCTGCACCTGGAGATCACGATGGTGTGGGGGACGTGCTTGCAGCATGTCAGGACTTTCATGTGCATAGGGCTGTCTTGCACGTTGCGATGTTTCTTGATGCTCATCTTGCTTCGCAGATTTTCTGCCCATTGCCCGCTGTCCGCGTTCCCCCACCCAACGTTTGGCCATGTCGTCTGAGTTGGAGGCTCGTCTCGCTCGGGTTGAAGATGGGCTCTCGGAGTGGAGTGCCACGACGCGTACCCGCTGGGAGGGGTTGACAACTTTGAACAGTCGCATGTGTGAGCTCTACAAGAGCAAAGGGGCGATGTGGCATGTCAAGAAGGAGTTGCTCGAGTTGGTACTCCAAGATTTGGATGCAGCTTTGAGTTGCATGGAGGATATCGCTCGTCAGACTCAGGTGCGCTCCGAATTCCGCGGCATCCCCACGACCGAAGAGGAGATTATCGGGGTATTCCCCGCTGGCGGCGAACG